ATTATAGTGTCTGCCATATCTTGGGTTCTAGTCAGGATTAAATGGCATGATGTGTGTATGTGTGTATGCGAGAGGGAGGAGAAATAGATCAGAACAGATTTTGTACCACATTATCAGCCCTAAATGAATGTTAGCTCCTATTGTTCCGAGAGAAATATTCCATCACTTAAATATCAAAGAGGAATTCTGGAAGTGTCAGTGGGAAGCCCTCAAGACAGCTGCATCTTCAATTATAGCATTGGCCTAAGGTATCTCTGAGCCCTGATAACTTTATGGATGGATGTCCAAAGGATTAAATGATTCCAAATCCAATCTCCTTATTTTAAAAGTGGAACTGGAAATGCTTTGAAGAGATCTAAGATATCTAAAGATTAATTATCAAGCTCCTTTCTCAAATGTCCGTTCATCTTGGCTGTTTATTACAGATTACAATATAGAAAAGTCACTCTACGATGTTGTTCCTGGAAATTTCAGATCTATTTTACTGAACAAGATAAATTATTCAACTATGCTCTTGTCATATTCAACAGAAACATCTCCCATCAGTTGTGTACGTTCCTCCTTGCTTTCTTCCCTGGCTTCTTCCTCCCTTTTCACTATTTTCTTCCTTGTTTTCTTCTTCCATTTAACAAATGTCTATTGAGCATCTGTTATATCTCCTGTGCCAGGTTCTGGGTTTTAACTGTGACCAGGAATGATATAACCTTCCCACCAGGAACTTGGGCTGAGGATCATGTGTAGTGGCCACAGTCAGAGAGACTCTAGTCTATAGCTGTAAATTCACATAATCTATAGATTTATTTTCTTTTCATTGTTGGCAGGAATGCAAAGTGGTATAACTACCATGAAAAATGTAATGGAGTTTCCTCCAAACACTCATAATTAGAACTACTATCCAATCCATAAATCCCACTTCTGGATAAATATTCAAGAGATCTGAACACAGAACGTGCAGAGATATCTACATATCCATATTCACAGCAGCACTATTCACTAATCAGATGTTAAAGTAGCACAAGTGTCCTTGGATGAAAGGATGAACAAAATACTGTGTGTATATTTATACAATGACATATTATTTAGCCTTACTAAAGGAAATTCTGGCAGAAACTAGAATAGCAATTGGCATGGGTTAGGGAGAGAGCAAAAAAGGGAGTGGCTGGCTGATGTGTACAGAGTTTAATTTGGCAAGATGAAAAAGTTCTGGAGATGGTTACACAACTCTGTGGACATACTGAAAACTACTGAACACTTAAAAAATATTAAGAGGGGACCCTCCCTGGTGGTGTAGAGGTTAAGTAGTTTCAGTGCTATCATGCTATCACCGCTGTGGCCTGAATTCGATCCCTGGCCAGAGAGCTGACCCACATGGTGCAGCAGACCTCTCCTGTCTTACCTGCTGCTCCCCTCAGCAGTGCTTTTGGTCCGTCTGCCTGTTCTGCTTCCAGCTCTATCTGTGGTAAATCCTCTCACCCTCCGGCGCCTCTGGCCTGTACCCCAGTTCTTGTATAAAAATAAATATATCTTTAAAAATAATAAAATAAAATTGCAGCAGCAATTTAAATTACTTAATGGATAATAAATTTATAATTAATTACAACATAAGTAGTGTTGTGTGGTATACCTTCTACTTTATTATATTATCATCTTAGAGAACAGCCGTGACTATTCGAATACATTCTTTTGTAATTCCAATGGAGTCTGAGTTTTGGTGCAACTGGTCTCAGTTATGAGCATCATTATATATCAGATATTCAGAGATGGCTATTCAAGATATTGCCTGCAAGGCTTAAGACATCTTCCTTGTGTTCAATGCAAAATATTTCTTAGACAAATTGGCACCAGAAGCCAAGGGGAAAAAGTTGGAAAATCTGTTCTCAATAAGGGTCAGTGACAAGGAAACTTCCCTTCTCACTTTTATTGTCTCATCTCTGAAAATCATTCTCTGCCACAGAAGTTTATACATTCAAACTTCAAAAATGCCTTTAAAGTCTTTACATTCAGTCTTTCCACTCGTTTTCAGTTCTTCCATCCATTTTCTGATCACTGAGTCTGGATTAGAAGGTTCCAAAGTTCCCATTCATCACCAAATGTCTGCTGTTCACAGACCCCAACACAGCAGCATCCTCCGTAGACGGCCAACAGATTTTATTCAAGGACACCTTTTGATGCTCTGGATGACTTAGATGTCCTCTTTCATAGATCTAGATATACTCACGTAGCAGCAAAGCAGGATCCAGAACTAAGATGTAGTAAGTGATGTACTGGCTTCAGATACAAAGCAAGGACTCTTCCAAAACTCTCTTAATCAAGAAGGGACTTTACTACAATATTTCTGACAATCCATATGGGACTAGGTATCAGAATTTAAAATTAAAAGTGGCTATTGTTTGTTTCATGAGCCTGCATTGTTAGGCAATGGGATTAGTCTTTTCCTATCAGCCACCATTCTAGGTTGCTGGCTTGCTAGATGAAGCCAAAATGGTTTATGAGGGTTGAAAATGGTGTAAGCATATTGGATGACACAGAGTTTTATATATCATCACTATTTTGATTGTGGAGCCTTTATTAACTTTTTCCAGTTGGCTCACATCATGAGAGGCTATTTTGATGGGGATACATAAGGGTAGGCCATTTTACACAGGGTCCAATATGGCAGCTTAAATTTAGCAATTAACACTGGGAGTGTGGTACAGAAGGAAGAGTTTGTCCTGAAACTGTCTCCAGGGAAGGACCCCATCATGGGAACTGGACCAGATGGAGTTTTATCAATTCCTGGCCATTCTTAATGAATTTTTTTTTCAGCTCTTGGCCTTTTGTCCCCGATACAGAAACATCATGAGATAATGTCTCAAAGTGGGAAATACACTAAAGCTTAAAAAATCTGGTTTTGAAAAATTCAGTGTCAATCTTTTTCAGAAAAGAATGGTTAAATATTTAAATCCTCAATAACTGGTCTTCACTGGCTAAGATATTGTCCCATTTAAAGAGAGGGTGCAGTCCAAGGCTGTCCTTCAAATAACCTCTATTTTCATTTTTCCACTGATACTTTCTCTATTGTTGGTATTTTCAAGAGGGTGATTGGCTAGTTGTCCTCATTTCACAATAAAAAATTCTGCATATTTGGCTCTGCCATGGTTCTCAAAGTGTTTCTCTAACCAAGTCCTTCTGATTTAAGGACATTTGAGTTTTTTTTTTTTTTTTTTTTTTTTTTTAAGCATAAAATGCACACACTGTCCGGAAGGCTAAGGAAAACTAATGTCAACCATTAACTTTAAAATCAACAATTAACACCTCAATCCAAATGAGCTTATAATGTTTTCTTTAATAATAAATGGAACAGTGGTTGGTAAGTTTTCTGAGTTACTAGTATTGGAATTTGGGGTGACACTGAAGGAATTAAAAGGTGAATGTCAGTTTTTTTAAAGAGCATTTTTTATATACCATCATAATCCTAGTCACCTGGTGTTCTCTCAGTACTATCTAGAGGTTTGAATAGGAATGCTCATTTTCCTGACTTTGTCCCAAGAAATGGAATACAAGAAATTCAAAGGAGTTAAAAAATTCTCATGAGTTGTAGCAAACAGGGTTTCTTTGGGTGCATTCATTTATTTCTGACCTAAAGGTCATGTCCTAAAGGTCATCCCACCCCACATACCTCAATTCAGTCATAAGACTCAGTCATTCTTACTGACCTCATAATAAGTAATATTAACTTATTTATAAATTTTTATATTGATCAAAATGGATAGGCAGCATTATGCATAATTTCAGATTCTGATGAAAATCACTACTAGATAAATCTTGAGCTCTAGAACAGAAAACTGTCTTTAATAGCTTCTGCAAGCATAACTGCACACACAGTTTGGCAAAGAGAGATATTCAAGAATGCTCTCTTGGTCTGTACAGTGCCAGAACTTTATTTCTGAACTTTATTTCTTATTTATTTCTTATGTCCTGTGTTGGTTCCATATGTCCTACTGAAAAGAACTAATTTAAAAAGACAGGAGGAGCATATGGGAAGGCCAAGGATGGACAAATATAAATATTCAAATTTCTTTTATTTACAATTTCACTCATACACACTTTTCCTTTTTACAAATGCAAGGGAAGGTGAAAGGAGCTTTTCCCAATTGACTTTGAATGAGATGGTTCCCAGCCTAGTGAGGCACAACCACAGAAGGACTCAGAAACTCATGAAATGTGGCTTGGCTTGACTACTGATTAAGAAAAGCACGGTCGGGCCTCCTTGGTGGCGCAGGGGTTAAGTATCACCACTATTAAGCTATCAGCAGCCACTGCAGCATGAGTTAGATTCCCAGCCAGGGAGCTGACCACATGGCACAGCAGACCTCCTCTGTCTCAGCTCTGCTCCCCTCAGCAGTATATTTCAGTAGATCCCCACTCTGTCTCCAGTGAATCCTTTCAGTCCCCGCACCTCTGGTCTAGACCCCAGTTCTTCTATGCATAAATAGATAAATAAATCTTTTTAAAAAAAGAAAAACACAGTGGCCTTATGCAGGAAAGTAGAGGAGGCTGCCTGGGGTGGGTTGCCTATAATCCAGAGACTGGAATAGAGAAACCCCACTGCTCCCCCCCACCCCAGCCAATCTCAAATATGCTGTTGAGACAGAATCAAAGTGGAGTCTTCATGTTCTCCTCACAAAGCCAACTAGATAGGCCAGGGACCCCAACAGGGTAACATAAAAATGGGTGTGTTCCTCCTGGGTGCTGCTAAACTTCACAGTTTACTGTCATATATAGAGATGCTTATATGTGCATTTAGAGGTTCAGGGGTGGGAGGGGTGGGGTCCTCTGCATACCCACGCTAAAGACACTTGTGAGAAAAAGTCAAACTTTAACAGGTAATAAACCCATAAAATCTGAAGCCTTCTAAGAAGAGCCCAGTTCATGTAAGATTTCTCCTTGGTTCCTCCCATGCTGGGACCCAGAAGCCAGACACTGGTTGGTGAGCTGGTGGAGGGAGGAGGAAGTGTTACCTTTCAAGATGTAGAGGAATCAGATGACCACCAAGCAGCCTCCACCAGGAGCAGGTCCGAGCTGGGAAGGAAGCAGAGTGGGTATTTGATGTCACAACAAGCTACAGTTTTGAATAATACCTCAGACAGGACATTTTGTTTTCTGAATCGAGACTCTGTGACACAAAGTGACTGGCACCAAAAGTGAGTAGCGAATTCATGGACCTCTTAGAGTTCCAGTTAGGGCCAGATGAAATACAAGCAAGCATCTAATTAAGAAGACATATAAATAAAGGAACACTGCATTCAATGACTTCATGAGCTCGGCTCAATTGAGTTCATTGCATAGAACCACTCTGGGGCTGGTGACAAGGACACTCACTGTGGTTGTCACTGCCCCTTTCTCTGTGTAGGCTGCCGTGCGGGGTCTCCTCTACCTGCTTCTCAAAGGTGAGCCCACACAGCTCCTCTTGGTGTTACATTAGAGACACTAGCTTGGAAAGCCAAGTGTAGGGTGGGCTCCTGATCTCAGGTGTAAGTAGGAGAGATAAATAGTCAAACCCGGGGCCTCCCTGGTGATGCAAGAGGTTAAGTTTCAGTGCTATCAAGCTATCAGCAGCCACTGAAACATGAATTCAATCCCCAGCCGGGGAGCTGACCCACATGGCACAGCAGGCCTCTCCTGTCTCACCTGCTGCTCCCCTCAGCAGTGGATTTCAGCAGATCTGCCTGCTCTGCTCCCCACTCTGTCTCTGGTGAATCCTCTCACCACCCCCACACACTTCTGGCCTGCACCCCAGTTATTCTATGTATAAATAAATAAAAATATACCATTTTTTAAAGTTAAAAAGAAAATAACTTTGAAATAAAAGTAATAAGAAAAAAGATGGGGGCACTAGCGCTGTCACGTGGTCCCACCCATTGTCCCTGGCAGACGTAGAATCTAACCTCTCTCTATTTTCAGAGTTCCTTGTTTATTTTTCTCCTTAGCACTAGCACTATTAATCTAATTGGGTTTTGCCCTTTTATAAATAATTTGTCTAGTTACTATGCTGTAATGTACCCAAGACAGAAGGTTTATCTGTTTGTTCACTATTGAATCCTTGGTCCCTGATAAATTCCTGGCATAGAAGATAATTCATTAATCAAAGAAAGGAATCAATGAAATGGAAAGGCAATTGATGGAATGTGAGAAAATATCTGCAAACCACATATCTGGTAAGAAGTTAATGGTTAAAGAACTCATGCAACTCACTAGCCAAAATAAAAACAAAAACAAAAGCCCACCAACAAGTGATCCACAGACATTTTTCCGAAGAAGACATACACGTGACCAACAGGTATGTGAAAAGGTGTTCAACTTCAACATCACTAATCACCAGGGAAACCAAAACCACAATGAAATCTCACCTCACACCTGTTAGGATGGCTATTATTAATCAGACAAGAGATAACAAATGCCGGAGAGGATGTGGTGAAAGGGAACCCTTTGCACAGTTGGGAATGTAAATTATGCAGCCACTATGGAAGCAATATGGTAGTTCCTCAGGAATTTAAAAATAGAACCACCATATGATCAGCCATCCCCTTTCTGGGTATATCTCTAAAAGAAACAAAAGCATTACCTCAAAGAGATATCATTGAGACATTATTCATAAAAGCCAATGAATAGAAACAACCCAGGGTTTGACAATGGATTAATGGATAAAGAAAATGTGACACATGTATATTAACTCAATACACCATTAAATCATCAAATATTCAAACTTTAAAATGAATGAAATCTTGTCATTTGCAACAGCATGGATAATTCTGGAGAATATTATATTAAGTGAAATAAGGCAAGGAAAGACAAATACTAATAGTATCTTTCATGTGCAAAATCTTAAAAAAGTCCAATTCAGAAACAGAGACAATGATGGTTACCAAGTACTGGAGGCAGGGAGGTGAAGAAAATGGGGAGATGTGGTCAAATGGTACCAAAATTCAGTATAAAAAAAAAAACATAGTCATGTGATCCTTGGCAGTAGCTTTAGAGATGTATTTGGGGACTTGACTCCCAAGGCGAGGAAAACAAAAACACAAATAAATGGGACACATCAAATTAAAACACTTTGGCAAGGTAAATGAAATTTGCATCAAAGTAAAAAGACATCCCACTGAGTGGGAGAAGACATTTGTACAGCATGCTATGTGCAGAAGATCTGAATAGATAGTTCCCCAAAGAAGACATACAGAGAGCCAACAGGTCCAGGAATAGATGCCCATCGCCTCTTATTAGAGAAATGAAAATCAAAATAACATAAAATAACAACACACACTTGTAGGAATGGCTATTATCCCAAAGAGAAAGAAAAAAACATGTGTTGGAGCGGGTGTGTACAGAAGGGAAACCTTAGACACTGTTCTTGGGAATGTAAATTGGTGAAGACATTATGAAGAGTGATATGGAGATTCCTCAAAAAATTAAAAATAGGAATATAGGCATTTCATACCATCCAGTTAGTCCACATTATTAACTCACAAAATAAAAAAAATGCTGGGCCTCTGTTCCCTACTCTCTCTGGTGAATCCTCTCACCCCCTGCACCTCTGGCTTACACCCCAGTTCTTGTATGCAAAAATAAATAATTTTTTTTAAAAAAATGCTATATTGAAGAGATATGTGAAACAATATGCTTGTCACAGCACTCTTTATAACAGGCAAGAACTGGAAACAAGCTAACTGTCTGTTGATTAAGAATACATTACAGGGCCTTCCCTGGTGGCACAGGCCATTGAGCGCAGCGCTGTGAAGCTGTCTGCATCCTCTGCAGCGCTGGCTCGATTCCGGGCAGCTGGCCGGCTGGTGAAATTCCCACATGGCATGGCAGACCTCTCCTGTCGCACCCACTGCTCCCGTCAGCAGTGTATTTTGACTGTCTGCTTATTCTGTTTCCCGCTCTGGCTCTGGTGAATCCTCTCACCCTCCCGCACATCTGGACTGTACCCTGGTTCTTGTATAAATAAATAAATCTTTAAAGAAAAAGAGAAAAGAATACATTACACACTTACACACACACACACACACACACACACACATACAGAGACAAGGCAGCCATAAAAAAGATGAAATCCTACCATTTGCAATATGGATGAACCTAAAGGGAATTAAGCTTAATGAAATAAGTCAAAGAAGGATATACACAGTATGGTTGCGCTCATGCAGTATACAGAGGAAACAAAAAAGAGATGAGATAAATAAAACAAACAAACAAAAAACTTTTGGACTACAAGATCAAATAGTGGCTACCAGAAGGGAAGTGCGGAGAACAGTGGTAAATAGGGAAAAAGAGAACAATGGTCTGGTGAAGGGTAGATTTGGGCTTTCATTTGTGAACTTAACACAGTATATATACACACTGATTCTCAATAATGAGCACCAGAAAATTATATAATATTATAATGCAATTAACTTCAATAAAAAAGAAAAATAAGTTCTGGGATTATAGTGTGCAGCATAATGTCTGTAAGTAGTAATACTGTTCGGCATACTTGAAATTTGCTGACAGATGAGATCCCTTGCATTTTCACTACAAGAACACTCAAATGATAACTGAGGTGGTAGATATGTTAATTAACTTGATTGTGATCATTTCATATATATGTATTTGAAATCACTGCACCCTTTAAATATATAGTTTTGTTTGCCATTTCCTCAATAGAGATGGTAAAATAAAATTTGGAATCTTTGCTGAATGAGTAGAATGAGTGTGAACGGTTATTTATCATACAACTTGTTTTGACAGTCATCAGAGCGCATTTATCACTTGGATGGGCTAATGGATGATGAAAGTCTTTAAAAATAGTCTTCTCACAACTACTGATGCAATCACCTAAAGTAAAAGAACATGAAGTGGGGCAGACACTCTCATTAGAGTCACGGTGCTAACTCTGGACACCTTAGCCTCAAAGCCTGCTTGAATATATCCTGTGGCATAGCTGCTTCCGATAGAGCAGGAAACAGTCTGCTGGAGGGTGAACTCAGATCTGGACTCAGGAGGGAAGCACAGCCCTTGCCACTGCCCTTCATCTCACTCCTTTGATTGCAGGTTTAGCTGCACACTACGGCTGTTGTGCTTCAGGGAGAAAACAACTGTTTTGCTGAAGTTATTACCAATTCAGAAGTTATTTAATTCCATGTTATAATTCAAATATTTTTAATTTCCTTACTTTGGTACAAAATTGACAAAATATGGAGGGGGAGTAGGGAGACCTTACATAAAAGGGACAGAGGATAAGATATTTATGGCAGCCTTCGTATTGCTAATCACTGTTAGTATAAAGAGAATGTACACAATGCAATTAGTGTCCCTACAAGATATGGGTAGATGTTAGCATGCAAGGATTTGGGACTCAGCATATAGATTTTATGACTTTAGTGAAATCTTACACTATACGGATTTTTAAAATGTCAAACGAGGCATATTCAGCTTGTAATCACAGGCTATCTCCCTCTTAATGTCCTTGAATTTTAAATGTTCCTATAAAGAAACCATTCACTTTGCTATCATCCTTCCAAACAAATTAGCTCTGTGTGTTGCATCGAACTAATTAGGATCCACAAGGGTTTGACTTGATGCTCTTTGTTGCAACTGCAGCTTAACTAATCTTCAAAAATAAAAGCCCCAAAATAAAATAGTCTAATGAGTTTTCAAAAATGCTTTTAAATTAAAAAAAACAAAACAAAACAAAACTTTTTCTTAGAATGTTCCTCTTGTGGTGATTCCCAGTATCACGTAGGGAGATACAAGGACAGTGATTCCAAGGCTGATACATTTTATCCACAAATAAAATGATAATGTGAACAAACACATGTTTGATCTGGGGCCCAGGGCTTGGCATGACTCACAGGAGAGATGCCTCCTTTGCTATCATTTGAGTCCCCACCCAAACCTAACCATCAAAGCAGAATAAGCACATGCTTGGAGAGAGAGAACCAAGTAAAATGCTCTTCTATTTGTTTTTAAAATCCTTTGAGACCCCATTGAATTTGGATCATGAAAGCAGAGCTCAGTTTGTACTTTTGACTTTTCCCAGCTTCACATTTTTAAAAAATGTTCTTTCACCACCTCCATGGGCAGAAGGCGATGAGCTTGCTTTGTTTCCCAACTGACCTATTCACAGCAAGTTAGTTACACCCACTTAAGTCCATCTTTCTCCCCACCCCCAATTTTGGCTAGTTCCACTGAGCCCCCTGTGGAGCTAGACACCGATACAGAGACTCCTGCTTTTGACAGAGAATGCAAGTACCCGCGGCCTCAAGACGCCCTTTCTTATTAAAGAACGAAATGCATGGAAGTTGTTAAAAACAAATCATTCCCATTAGGAAAAGTTACATGATTGGAAAAAGAGAAGAGCACATTGCTGTAATTACTGGTATATTAAGCAGAGAATGAACAGCTGCGTGAACTTGGAGTCAGTAGAATAACAGCCACAGAGCCAGGTTCCCCATATGGTCCTAGGGAGGGGGTGGGGCCTCTAGCCGCTTGCGGGGTGTAGAGGTGAGGAGGGGCAAACTGGAATCCCAATCAAGGGAGAAACTCAGGCCAAGAAATGTCTGGCCTCCCAATCCAAGCCCAGCGTCCTCCATGCTGCAGTGGGAAAATCCCCCTGGCTTCCACAACAAAAGTCTAAAATCAATGTTGTTTTTTCCTAAAGAGAGCAAAATGTGACCATTTTCAGATTTTTAGCTACCCCCACTATGAACAGAGAAGATGATCTCAGAAAGACTGAATCACTTCCTCAGCTTTTTTGGGGTGTGGTTATTCTTTGGGTGGTTGACACTGATTCATAAATGCTATTTGATAGAGCATTCACTTTCCTTCCCAATGAGAAGGAGGGCCTCCCTGGTGGCACAAGGGTTAAGACACAACCTATGAAGCTGTACGCAGCCTCTGCAGCATGAGTTCGATCCCCAGCCAGCCAGGGAGCTACCCACATGGCACAGCAGACCTCTCCTGACTTGCCCGCTGCTCATCTCAGCAGTGTATTTCAGTCAGTCTGCCTGTTCTGTTCCTCACTCTGTCTCTGGTGAATCCTCTCACCCCCCCACACCTCTGGCCTGTAGCCCAGCTCTTGTATGCAAAAATAAATAAGTATTTTTTTAAAAAGCAGCATAATGAGAAGGAGAATCCAGTCAACAGCAACTGGTCCTGATGACCAGTCCCAGCTTGCTGTGCTGAAAGCATGACAGCCTAATTGGCATTCCTTTCAGAATCTGGCAAATTTGGTAAAGGCAGACCAGCGCTATGGTAACCTTTCTTCATCGATGCAAATCCTAACAGAAAAGCATTCCATTCTTCTTACAATGTACGTCATAAATTAAACACAATAAAATTTATTGTCAAAACTCGTAGGAAGACATTCCTGAATAGAGGAGGCAGAAAATGCTTGCATTATACTGTTTCAGAGCTAAAATTTGATAGCCGCTAGAAGGGTTGGCTATAGGAATCTAGCTATTTACAGGAGGAAATGCCAAATAGTCTACATCATTTGCAAGGAGATGTTTTTGTAAGTACCATGTCCAAAACTATTCTCGTTTCCACTGTCCGGAGGCCTTTACCACAGGGATGGCGGCCAGCTGTTCCTCATTGCCACCGAAACAGAGGGAGAAAAAAATGGCAGCACGGTGGAATTAGAGGAATTCAAGCTTCCTGAAAATATGAGCGTGTTAACTCCAAGGAGATACAGAGTAGATTTTTTTTTTTTTTGCTGTATTTATTTTTTAAGAGGCATTTTTAAGACAGTCTAGGTGTACTTTTATTCATGAGTATAAAAATGAAATTGATAATCTTATAAAATTGTTTCAACTGAAAAAATGCTGGAAAATCTTTTAAAAAGATGACTGTGGGGAGTTAGGCTATAAGGAGGGTAATTTATTCAGTCGCACTATGTGCCATGAAATTTTATAAAGTGAGAGGGCATTATTAAAGAAATCCTTTCAGAAATGCATATATTTCACTTCATAGATTTTTAGAGAGGTGTATTCGAAGAAGGAGTGTAGTCATTTCTCTGCAATTACTATTTGATCATCATGAGAAATATCTAAATTTAAATAATACACAGTATTCTACCCAAATTAAGCACACTAACATTCCTTAGGAAATTATTAGATGATGGATAGATAGATAGACAGACAGAGGTTGATGGATGAATGGATAGATGGATAATGTTAAAACATCAGTGAGAACTGGGGTTTCCATCACACTGGATTTGGGGTCTTTTACTTAGAAATTTGTAACTATACCAAGAAGATTCTGAGCTAGTCACTTGTAAGACTTTCTTAGTAAACTGATTAATTAACAACTGTGGGAAAGGCATTCATTCCAGTGTTTATAGACCAGGTAAACTGTCACCACCAGACTTCTGAGCCCCATGCAATACTCTGCTTTATATTTCCCATCCAACTTGAAAGAGAATTTCTAGTAGATTTCATTCCAGATCCCCCAGTAGGCAGCACTACCTTTCAGCAACCAGAACATTTTTCTGGGCTTCAGTCCAACCTGGACATCTCAGTAGACACGGAGGCAGAAACGCGGGATTACTGGATTTCACTGTCCTTCTCGGATACCCTAGTAAAGGAGCATCACCTCCATTTGCGACTTTCTAGGGGGGAAAACCCAACTTGCAGATAACTAATTTTTTTCTAGCAATAAAAGGCTAAAACAAGAGCAAATGAATAGTTTCACTAGGTAAGTCCATCTTGACTTAAAACTCTGACATTTAGAGCATCAACCAGGGCCCTCTGCATGGGTTAAATAGAGTCAGAGATTATTGCTTCACACCTTCAGGAAATAATCAGTTACTTTGTTTGAGGTTAAAATTCAGGAGCATTCAAAAGTTTATCAGAGTCTGGAACTGTAAGTGAAATTATGACTTTTCTCTTTATCCTTCAATGGGCCATTTTCAAAACATTCCTTAAACTGGATTCTCAGTTTCTTCCCTATATATAAATTTTCCTTCATACAGTATAGAGTGGGTTCTACAGAAGAGTGGAGAGGGTTCATCTGGGCAGTTAAGAACACAAATCTGGATCCACACTGAATCAGTTAACTTCCAGCTCTGTCGCTTGCCAGCTGTGTGTCTTTAGGGAAGTTACTTGACCTCTCTGAGCCTGTGTTTTTCCCCCCTATAAACTGATATTTCCTAGCAACCCATTTTGTTGATTGTTTTGATGACTTTTTAATGTGCTCAGAACCTTGCCTGGAAGTGTTCACCCATCCTTCTGAGAGCTAATAGAGAGAAAAGAAGTCGAAATGGGATTACTCTCCACACACCAAGAAAAACACGGTGCACAATATCTAATTACATATCAATTCTCAATTTATGTTGAAGCAAAAGTAAATCTTTTTCTTGTAAATATTAAACACTAGATAAAATGAAGATCACCAGCTTCTGGGGGAACAGTGTCCGTCCTTCCTCCCTTACCTGTGCTCCATCACTCAGAGCAGAACACGTGAGTGGAGAGAAAAAGGTTAGGGATGGCGGGTTCATTTTAGCCAGTTGGTGCTAAGTCCCAGAAAACAGATAGCTAGAAGTTTCTCTTTTCTATGTCCCTCATTCACTGTTCCCTCCGCAGGGTACCCTCCACCCCAAATTTTCAAGACCAGGTAGAAGTATGACTTTATTCACTCACTTATTCACACAATGACTTAGCCACTATTGATTAAGCACCTACTATAGGCCCGGGAGTCTGGGGTGACAGAAGCCATACATTCACAAAGTGGATAAGATACAGTCCTTATTCTGAAAGAATCCATGGGTTAGTGGACATAAAACAAATGATCAAAAGCAAATGAAAATCAGAACAAAAATCCTGTGACAGGTGGCCAGATGGGGTGAGGAAAGAACAGGAGAGAAAGTCATGTCTAACTCTGTTTAGAAAGGTTGGGAAGTTTTCCCACCTGAGAAGAGGTTTGTTGTTAGGGCTAAGGGAAAAGTAGGAATTAATCAGGTGAAGAGTAGGAATTAGGGCCTCCCCGGTGGCGCAGCGGTTGAGCGCTGGGTTGCAAAGCTGCCCGCAGCCTCTGCAGCGCCGGTTCGATCCCCGGCCACCGGGCGAGTGTCCCACATGGCGCGCAGACCTCTCCTGCCGCCCGCTGCTCCCCTCAGCAGTGTACTTCGGTCCTTCTGCCTGCTCTGCTCCCCGCTCTGGCTCTGGTGAATTCTCTCGCCCTCCCGCGCTTCTGACTGTACCCAGTGCTTGTATAAATAAATAAATAAATCTTTTTTTAAAAAAAAGTAGGAATTAGTCAGGTGAAGACAGGGAAATTGAGCATGAGAAGCAGTGCAGGCACAGGAAATGCAAATGCTGTATGCTGCCCCCAGCCCAGGGCTGTCCTGCTCAGAGCCTGGGATGCTTGTGGCTAGAAAGCAGACACTTTGTAGCAGCATGGGGTTTGAAAACAGTGATGACACAGGTGCTTGCAAAAGGACACAGGTTGACAGGATGGCAGGAAGCCACTTGTGAAGTTTCCTACTGTCCTACCTAGTCTGATCCCCTGCCTGAAGGAATAGAGGAAGTATCCAAGATGCTGACAGCCTGAGGACATTTAAATAAAGCACGTGCCTTTTCCTTGTGAACCAAGTTTCAGGAATTCTGAAGGACAGAGCCATGGATAGTCTCCTACAAGACCCATGTCCCATCCTAGCATCTTAGAAGAGGGTTCTAAATGTCACAAAGGTATGATATCAGGGCACAGGCACCCTGTTAACCTCAGGGGCTTCCAGAATGCTAAGTGTTTACTTATTACACAATTACATAAATCAAATAAGTAATATCCTATGCTAGTGATTTATATTATGAACTTGTATGAAACAGCCTTTAGTCTAATGCTGGAAAATCACTCCTGCTTACCTGAAATCCTGCAGGAAGTGACCCATGCATGTGTAAGAGGCCCAGAGGGTGGAGCATGGGTATGGCTTGTGGAAAATCACTGAGGCCGCTCAAAGAGGGATTTTTACAGCTAAATATCAGGTCGGGGGGAGAAGCAGATTCCTGCAAATGAGAGTAGACAATATCAGAAAAATCAGTGGTGGGTCAGGGAGAACTAACTAGATGGACACCTTGCCAGCCTCTAAGTCCATTTGCCAATGAAAATCCGAACCCTTTCCAAAGACTGTTTGAAGCAGCAGCAGAGAGGGGGTGAGCACTGTTGAATCTGACTACTTGTGTCTAGATAATAGAGCTATAAAAATGGACTTGGATTAGCCCTTCTGACAATACATTGGACAGGACTAAGTCAGTTCAGGTTTTCACGCCCGTGATATGGAGGGAGAAAAGGACGATAATCACAGCATTTGACTTCTCCAGTTTCTCAGAACGCAGCATGAGCCAGCCTAGGAGATGGAATCTGAGCGGGTAAACACCTTGTGTGGTGGACCTCAGAGATGCCTCTCATCCCTCGCTCATTTATTGGGGGCCAGCAAAAACAACACAAAGATGGGGGGCACATCTGGAATCACTGTTCACAAAGCTAAGCTACCCAGCAGGTGAAGCATTTTAATCCCAGGCTCCACCGCCTATAAAATCGGCCTCATTTCTCAGCCTTTGTGAACAACCCTGGAAGAGGAATTCTCAGGACAAATACATGGGGGTGGGTGTAAATGAAAGGAGAGTAGCACCTGTCTCTGCAGCTGGCCAACAGACGTCGCTTTAATGTGCTGTCTGCCGGGAAACTCAGGCGTCTGGTGTTACGCGGAGCCTTCCCTGCCGTGGAGCCTGCAGTACGGAATCCTGGACCAGAAGATGTGAGGCTTGGTCTGTAGCCAAAAACAATGGTGAAAGGTACAACATGAAAAACATGGTAGGGACAAAGGAGCTCAATCACAGAACAACACACAACTTGGCCGTTTGAAGAAATGAACCCCAAACCCAAATCACAACTGGATCAACAACTGGCTGATCCCCTTTTACCTTCTAGTGCATCTCTGGCTGGCGACTGCTTATTGAAATGGGAATGAGGAGAACACAGCCGCCAGCGGTCTACCATGTCTCTATTTGGGGCTAGTTCTGGCTGGTCTCAGAAAAGCAGCTTGCAAGATTTATGTTCCTCGCCTTCCATCCATGTTTTTTTCTATTAAAGGGGGGGAATTAGAGCAAAGTTACCAACATAACTCCAACCCAGGGCTGGAGAAGTCCTAGCTGACTTGCAAAATAACTGTGGCTTCAGCAGAATCATGTGCCCAATAGTAGCAGAGGTGAAGACCATAAATGTGTGTTCACAGATTTAAAAAAAAAAACAGGAGAAAAGAACCTGGAATTGGGTCCACATTGGATGCAATGCTTGGTTCAGCTCCATAGAACACAACTAAGTTTGAATAATGGGAACAAATAGAATGAAGGGGGGGATTCTTTCCAAGAAAAACTTAGAGGAGGGGGAGAGAGAGAGACAGAGAGAGAGAGAGAGAGAGAGAGAGAGGAGAGAGAGAGAGAGAGAACAGATGCATAGATTTTAATGCAATGTACAGACCAGAGAGAGGATATCAAAGGGAAGAAATAGAGATGGGCTAAAAGCTAAAAGAATCACTGCTGGTGGTTTAGGTCTCACTACCCTGAATGTCCACAGAATGGAGTACACGTCTGTGTAGCATGAGTCCTGAGTTCCAGGAAGAGAAATGTGCTTATCACCTGCATATTGATGCTTGGAGATCCTGCAATGGCAGGAAGAAACATTCATGCCCCAACCAGAGCTCTGAGAAAATGCAAAGGCATTGGAAAAATAGGAGTAAAATAAAATTCACAACGAGCCTTGTGACTGAAGACCCTCTGAAGATCAGTGAAAGAGGGAGATCAAGAATTCCTTCACACCTGAAATGATGGCGCAGGGGTCCTGAGTGTGGAGCAGAAAGCAAAGGTTGGGCATCAAAATCACTTTGTTTTTTTCTACTTGAATCGGCCTGAATGTGGGCTCTAGCAATAACAGGTGGACTGATTGAGTCAACAGCATGTGGAACGCGAAGGCAGGCTGTGCCCAAGGAGGAAGCCAGTGCCCCAGGTGTTCACTCCAAAATGTTTTGGCAGTGAATTCAGACACAGGGGGAAATCATTTATACATGGAAAACTCCCAATGAACTTTAAAAAACTTGCCTAAAATACCTATTGGCATTTTCCACTTTAAATAGATATAAGTAGTTTCATTCTTAGTTTAAAGAAATGACTACTAAAAGTTTGCTTTCAAATTTTGCTGAAAGCATCAAAAGCAATGAACTCATCCATTAAACTATATTATCATAGCCCTAACAAGAGAGTATTTGTTTTTCCAATGACGTTCTTCTTTGTGTAACACTGGAGGAAATTAAAAGCATTTTTAATATGTACAGATAGATTTTTTCCTGAATCAGAGAGCACACAAATGTTATCTGTGTCCCCATTTGAATCCATGAGCATTCTCCACCTCCATCATTGAAAAATAATTGGAGTGTAGCCCTTACTCTGCCTCACCTAATGTAATGAAGACTCCCCACCATTATGTTAACACTAACTGTATTGAATGAGATGTTGATCTGTTTGGGCATTTCCATTGAGTTTGAAAATACACCACTATAAGTCTTCCTAACTGTGGTGAATTATGAATCTGCAGCTGACATGCATATCCCTGACTCTATGCGCTATCTGGAGGAAAGAGGAATGGACTCCAATAGCAATTAAAGTTGGGACACATTTCAAGAGTTCTTAGCACATCCCATTACAATTTTTTTTTTCATCAAGTCTTCTGCCAAAGATCAAGTTGCTCACAAAAAGGCAATATTTTTGATAGGAAGGAAAAAAGAATCCAGAAATGCACAATTCCTTTAAGACTATGGGTACATTATGAAATTACAATATTTTAGTTGACATTCAGATTTTATGACATGCATGAATATTAAGAATTCACTTAATACATGAAAATTGATACCGATTTCAAATGCCCTACTGCAGACAAACCATGTCATAAATTCAATGTTACATCGGTAATAATGAGTTTAAAAGAACTAAACACAGTGCTTCTAGGTCTGAGACCATAGAAAATAAATTCTATCTTCTAAAGGCAGAAGATTGGCAGGAAGCATAAGCCCCATTTAGTTCTACTAGCTTAGACTTTCTTTACATAGGAGCACAATTCAGCCGCAGTGTGTTCTTGAAGGTGAAGATTGTCCATTAGACCATCACCTCCAGTAGCAACTCCCCTTCCTTGGCATCTGATATAAGTTGCATATCCAAAGCAAACCAAGTTTATAGACAGGCCCAAGATTACTGTGCTTTTTTCAGAATGCTGTTTCCAGACTATGGTCACAAAATATTATTTATTGAGTCTAACTCGCCTCTGCATGCAAGAAAGTATTTGCTAAATAACCTTTCTGAGGCACAAAAAGAAATATTCTACTTGATTCAGAACTGTATCAGGCAGCCGTAGCCTACATAATATGAGGAAGGAGCAAAAGAAATTTCAACTGTTTTGTAGATGTTGTCTTTCTCTATATAAATGTAGATCTCCTTCATGAAATTCTAAGTCTGTTTTTTAAAAATAATTTATGTACTCAGACAAACAACAGTCCATAAACCTTTTGATTCACATCTATAAACAGAAATAAGTGTTTCAATATACTATGTTAAATCTGGGGTATAAAGATAAATAAGATGGTGTCTTGAGAGGGGAGAACAGAACTACATGTATAACTGTATCACGAAGCACACTGTTTTAAACACTTTTTGAATTTATACACAAAATCCTCTGAGAACACATAAGAGCAATAATTCTCTTGTGAAGCGAGGATGTCTTCAGAAGGAAATGATATTTGATCTGTTTCTTGAAAATGAATGGAATGTCAAAAGGGGGAGGTGCCAGGTAGCTCTGACCTTAGAAGTATTTGGTGTCTGAGACAACTAGCTATGACAGGAAACCCAACATAATCATACTTGAAAGGAGACTTTGCTGCCACTGCCATTTTTTTATGGGCTATCTGAGATTCACTAAAGATGGAAATGTCAAAATTGATTTTTACTTATGCTCAAAAGAGGTGTCAGATGTTGTATCCCATGGTTTCTGGCCCCCTCCACAACCACCACCAAGTATAGGGCCAGGACTGCTGCCCACCCCAGAGTTGCACCTGAAGGGAGAGGAATGCAGAAAACAGGGAAGTTTCCACCTCAGCTCTCCACCAATCTCACTAAGATTTCCTTGACACTGAACGCTCCCTCACTCCCCAAAAGTAACCCTTTTTCTCCCATTGGCTATGATTGTTTTACTCTTCTTTAAATTGATCCCATAGCCACAAAGCAAAAGGTAAAAGGAAACACATGGAATTCATTTTAATGATATATTTTACTTGATCTAAAAGGCTAAGAATGTAGTTACGTTAGCATGTAATCCCCTTGGCTATTATTCCTGTTATTGAAACAGCTCCTCTGACATTTATAAGACTATTGTCCTCTTCTTTCAGCCATATTTAAAATATTGGTATCTATCTTACCCTCTGCAACCTCTGTCAAAATTCCAATGGAATTCTTTACAGAAATAGAACAAATGTTTTGAAATTTTTTATGGATCTACAAAAAATCCCAAATAGCAATCCGGGGAGGGGGTGGGAAGCTGTAGGGGGTGGGGGGACTCCAGGTATCCCACCTCTGGAAACAAATCATATTCTAAAATACCAACAATCAAGACAGTATGGTATTAAAATAAAAGTAGATATACATATCAATAGACCAAAATTGAGAGCCCAGAAACAAACCCACACATAAATGAACAGTTAATCAATAAGCATACCACGAAGAAAGCCTCTTCAACAAACAGTGTTGGGAAAACTAGACAGTCACATGCAAAAGACTGCAATTGGACCACTATTTTATACCACACACAAAAGAAATCAATTCAAAATGGGCTGGGACTTGGATGTAATAACAGAATTCATAAATTACATACAAGAAAATATAGGTGATACTTTCCACAACCCTGGTCTGAGACATTTCTTTGGGGATGTGACTCCAAGAAGGAACAGCGAAGATAGCAAAAATACACAAATGGGACTACACATAACTAAAAATCTTCTGCACAGTGAAAGAAACTGTCATCAAACAAGAAGACATCTTACTGATTGGGAGGAAATATTTACAGATTATACATTCAACGAGGAATTAACATCTGAAATATATAAAGAACTCATATAACTCAACAAAGGGGAAAAATGGGCACATGTGAATAGTCACTTCTAAAGATGATATAAAGGTGGCCAATATGTATAGGAAAAGATTTTTAAAATCTCTCTTATCAAGGAAATTCAAATCAAACAACACTGACATATCACCTCAGACCCGTGAAAATGGCCTAATTTAAAAGAAAAACCAGAAACAAGTGTTGGTGAGGATGTGGAGAAAAAGTAACTCCTATTGGTTGGAATGTAAATCAGTTTAAGCTCTATGGAAAACACTATGAACTTTCCTTAAAATATTAAAAATAGATGTACCATATGATCAAGCAAGTTAATGTCTAGGATATTAAAACACTAATTCAAAAACAAACATAAAAATGCACCCCTATATTCATTGCAACACTATTTACATAGTTAAGATATGGAAACAACTTAGGTGTCCATTGGTGGGTGATTGAATAAAGATGTGGAATATATATATATATATACACACACACACAACAGAATACTACTCAACTATAAAAAAATTAAAAAGATGAAATCTAGTCATTTGTGACAAAGGTGGAACTTGAGAGGATTATGCTGGGGGATGTAAATGAGTAGAAAGAAAAATACCAGATTATTTTACTTAT